AAATCTGCCTTCTGCAGTTCGGTGAATTAGTGATGAAAGGGTAGGAGTTTCTGTGTCACACCCCAAACATGCCCCTAAAAGTTTGGGCATGACCACTTCAGGAACGGACACTTAACTTGATGTACATAAGATATGGGGCATGAACGGAAGTATTAAATATTATAAAATAACATGAAATAAAAAGAAACAACATCCATTGATCGACCATTCCATTTGTTCATCATAAATCAATACAATTATCTTGCAGAGAATAGAATGTTCATATTAACTATCAACAGTAAGCAACATGTACTACTTCAGTGTTAATAATGCACGTAGATCTTCCCATGGTTTATAATATGTCGACATACTTGTTTCGCAAATAATAGAACATCATTGATAACAACTAACAGAAGGCAACTATATTACTGCATTCATAAGGACAGAGCAATGCACATTATAATGGCCTTGAGCCCATCACTGTCAAACAGGATGATTCCAGAGACGCCAAAATATCAGTAAAGCAAGGTAATTCCAGAGCTGTACCAAGGTATGCAGATTTTCCAAACATTTATAAATGTTAGCATAATTAACTCGCGAAGAACAGAGCGTTAATAACAATACATATTAATGGTAGTAAGATATACAGCTACCGTACTACTACTCACAGTGCGGTGATGGAGTGATAGTCCCTCCCGGTAGGTGCCCTACATATGCATGCCATACAAGAATTAGTTCGTTTTCCTTTTAAAATCATTTTCCGGTTCGTTTCGTTTCAACGAATTTACAAACATTGAAGAGGCATTAAATACAGATGTCAATATCATCAGAGGGTCAAGCACGTAAAATGGAGTAGGCAAAATTTCCCAGCATGGGCCGCACGTGCGGCTGTGAGCCCCGTACGTGCGGCAAGGGTTCTCGCATGTGTAGCAATGAAGCCCCGCACGTGCCTTTTTAGCAGTATTCAAAGACCCAAACTGCTCTGTTTTCCGCACGTGCAGCCATGACTCCCGCACGTGCGGCAGTGTTCCCGCACGTGCGGCCATAACCCCCGCACGTGCGGTGATTTACCCTGTTTGTGCAGTCCGAAATTCATGTAATCTTTCACCGTGGCAAACTCAATTCAAAGCATAAAATGAGAGGAATTAATGCAACATAAGGGATCAACATTACAATAACATGGATTTCAAGTGTATAATACCACATGATTCTTAAGTCACAAACTCAATTAACTTAACCTTTTTCCATTTTACAACATGACCCAATTCCCTTAAACATACAAACAAACACATGTAGAAACATGCAATTTCAACTTGAGAGTCCAAGGAATTTATCATAGTCCTCCCATATAATTTAAAATACCTCCAAACAACTATATGCTAAGAATGTTTCCCAATGAAACAATTGTTACACACACTTGATCTCAAAGACAAACTCTAGCTTGCATAGAAACATCCTTACTACCCTTAAGAAGAGGTTGAAAAGAGATTATTTAAAGTGATTCATACATACCTTGGTTCAATCTCCACAAACCCTCTCAAATCCCTAATCTCCTCTTTTGAAGAACCCCTCTTCCTCTCAAACTCTCTCTCCCCAGGAGATATTTATGAAAATGGCTCTCAATCAAAAATCTAAGGAACCTAGATATATATATATATATATATATAAAGAATAAGGACGAAAATCAATCAGTTTAGACATTCCAAATTGAAATTTCATAGAAAATCATATTATGACTTAAAAATTACGTTAATCACAAATATAAAATCAATTCCAGATAATTACACCTTTAAGGCTCTCAATCTCTGATCCAAACATTTTAATTGTAACAGATATTTTTCTTATTAAACAGATATGAATCTATATTCATAAGATTCACTCAGTCAAACGTCACTTCACACGAAATTTCACAATAAGAATATAAATGCACAAAATAGGGGACTGGAAATATACTAGAAAATATATACGAGGGTCGGGTTATTACATTTTGCAGGTTTTGTTTTGTTATTCAGCTAGTTTTGCATTCTGTAGAGAGAGCTTTGTGACTTCACCAGTCAAATTCTTCAACTCAACGGCAATAGCAGAGGCCAGTTCCTTTGCATAAGAAGCTTCTTCAGACAATTTTTTATTCTGTACATGTAAACCACTGTTCTCCTCTAAAATATGAACATGTTCTAACATTAGTTTCCCATTCTCAATTTCCTTCACAAAGAAACAAAACCATCTATGTAAGGTCCATTATGCAAAAAAAAGTATAAAACCCACATCAGTTCTTGCTTTCAGTTACAAAAACAAAGTGGAAGATTTGAAATCACAGCTTCAAATTCAAGACTCTAATAATTGTACCAACAGTAAGAAGATGAAGATGGAATTGGCAGAACCACTGACACTAGGTATATATCTTTGGTTGTTCAAATATCTCCTATGGACCAAACCAAAGAATTTCTCTGGACCAACCCAGAGAAAATTCGACCAGATTGAATTTCTCTGAATTGAATTTTCTCTGGTTTTGGACCAAAGAATTTGACTGAATTGAATTTTCTCTGGTTTGGACCAAAGAATTTCTCTGGATTAAATTGAATTTCCTCTGGGTTTGAACCAAAGAATTTCACTGGATTGAATTTTTTCTGGTTAAATTTCCTCTGGGTTTGAACCAAAGAATTCAACTACTACTTGGACACAACGGGGTTAACAAAAGAAAAGCTGCCAGCGCTGGACTAAGACTAACCTCCGAGCTGATTACCTACAGAGACATACATCACACAGAGTGAGTGGGGCTCAGTGAATAATAGTGTGTAGGTAAGTCAAATGAATAAACATAAATCACACCGTATATAAGTACATGGTTCACATATCTGATCTTGTTCTGTAATCATTTCCAAAACGGCCTTGGGCCCAATATTAATGCAGAATGGCCTCAGGCCCAATATTATACAAAACAGCCTCGGGCCCACATATCATACAGAACGGCCTCAGGCCCACATATCAACAGCTTGTTGAACATTGGAGGGTAGGCACAACATCGACATGTATGCTACCTCCCTCGACCTTAGGCCATGAGTCATGATCAATTCAAATCATATTAGGGTCCGTGAGACATCGACATGTCATCACCTCCCTCAGTCTTAGGCTGTCATCGAGATGTAACTTATATCTGAACGGCCTCAGGCCCAGCAATAGCAAGACAGAACGACCTCGGGTCCATAAGTACACCATTGTCCAATATCACATGTGAGTTTTCCAATTGTTCATTATATAGAGACATAGCTTATTCATGATTAACGGTAAGCTAACGATAACTATTAGCAGCAAATAAGCATATCACTCTAGTACTATTACTCACAGTGCTGTGGCGGAGTGATAGTCCCTTCTTGTATGTGACCTACACACACATGCAACTCATAAATTAGTCCATTTTCCTTTTTAATCGATAATCGATTCGTTCAACATTGATTTAATTACAAGCATTTTAAAAGCTTCAAATACACATTTTAGTAACCCTAAAGGGTCAAACACGAGAAAAGAAACACATAAGATTTTTCTCCATGGCCCGCACGTGCGCCCCGCACGTGCATTTATTTTAGTACCTTAACCTCGAATTCCCCTGTTTCCCGCACGTGCGGCTATGAGCCCCGCTCGTGCGGTCGCAGCCTCTGTTTTCAGCAGTCCGAACCAAGGCCAAAATCCAACATGGTCACCACATCACAAAGGGGAAAATTGGGAAAATCAACTCAATATTGTAACATAACATCACCATAATGTGAATCACAAGTCACAATACCACAACAAACATGAATTACAAGCTTGATTAACCTGTAACCCTTTTCTAGTGGTTGTATTTGATGTATGAAAGATATATATATATATATATGTGAGTTCAGCATATAAAACCAAAGAATAAGGTATAATTTTCCTTCACAAAGCTCCAAACAACTAGAATACAAGGATCCTCCAATCAATTAACCAATTATCACACACAATACCTTCCTAGAAACCCTAGCTTTATGAATATAAAAGGAATTTCAATTCAAACCCATTGGAGAGGTTATTCTAGGTGGATTATATCTACATTGAACTCAAAGCTCCACAATTCTTCTCAATTTCTTTAATCTTCTCCTTGTTGAACTTCTTCTCTCTTTTCTCTTCCTCTCTACACTCTCTTCTTCTCTCAGGAGATATTTCTCTTATGATATAAAAGTGACTAGGTTAAGGGCTTAAGAGGGTTATTTAAGAGTTGACTACAATTTAATCATTGCGAATTAAATTTTTACAAAAATTCGTATTATGATCCAAAAATCATACTTATCACAATCATAAAGTCCATTTCGGGTTATCACCCTTCTAAGGCTTTCAATTACTGATCTAAACGTCACAATTGTAACAGATTTCTCTCATAATCGACAGATATAGATCCATAATCTTATAATTCACACAATTAAACTTAATTCACATGGAACTTCACATTAAACATATAAGTGCACATAATAAGAGACTGAAAGCATACCAGAAATATATAAGAGGGTCGGGTTATTACACTCTTCCCCTCTTAAATAAGTTTGGTCCCTCAAACTTGTTTTACCTTATGACAGGAACAACTCCAGATATTGGTGTTGCATTTCTTCTTCTTTTTTCCAAGTAGCTTATGTTCCATAATGTTCTTGCCATTCGACTTTTACCATTGGGATTACCCGGTTCCGTAGTTGTTTCACTTGCCGATCTAAATTTCGAATTGGTTTTTCTTCGTAGGTTAATTTGTCATCAAGTGTAATTTGATGGTACTCTATGACATGAGACGGATTTGGGAGGTAACCTCGAAGCATATATATATGAAACACATTACGTACTTGGCTCTTACTTGGTGGAAGAGCAACTCGGTAAGCCATCAAACCCACTTCCTCCAGAACTTGAAATGGACCGATATATCGGGGTGTTAACTGACCTTTTTTAGCTAATCTTGGGTGTCCCTTCATCGGAGTAACTTTCACAAAAACAAGATTACCTACCTCAAATTTGAAATCTCTTTATCGGTGATCCGCATAACTCTTTTGTCTACTTTGAGCTGTTCTCAACCTTTCTCGAATAATTTTAATCTTTTCGGCCGTCAACTGTACAATTTCAGGCCCTAACAGTGATCTATCTCCGACTTCAGCCCAACACACGGGGGAGCGACATGGTCTCCCATATAAGGCTTCATAAGGTGCCATTCCAATGCTTGAATGGTAACTATTATTGTACGCGAACTCCGCCAATCGTAGATGAGTTTTCCAACTTCCCTGAAAGTCTAAAACACACATTCGTAGCATATCATCTAAAGTTTGTATTGTCCTCTCGGATTGTCCATCTGCCTGTGGGTGAAAAGTTATGCTAAACTTTAACTCTGTCCCCATAGCATTCTGTAAACTTTGCCAAAATTGGGATATAAATTTCGGGTCTCTGTCTGACACAATCGAAATTGGAACATCATGAAGTCTTACCATTTCATTCACGTAAATCACAGCAAGTTTATTCGCATTGTACTTAGTTTTCACAGGTAGGAAATGTGCAGATTCTGTTAACCGATCCACAATGACCCAGATAAAGTTCATGCCCCGAGAAGTCCGTGGTAAACCTACAACGAAATCCATAGTCAAATGTTCCCACTTCCACTCCGGGATTGGAAGGGGTTGAAGCAACCCTGCCAGTTTCTGATGCTCTGCCTTTACTTGCTAACATTGCAAACATTTTGAGACGAATTCTGCAATTTCCCTCTTCATATTTGGCCACCAAAAATTGTGCTTTAAATCTCAATACATCTTGGTACTCCCGAGATGTATTGAAAATCTGGAGGCATGTGCTTCTTCCATCAAGTTCTTCTTCATTCCTGGTACATTGGGAACACATAATCTGCCTTGAAATTTGAGCACCGAATTTACAAAATCGAATCCGGGTCTTGGTTTTTCTTCTATCTCCTCACAGATCTTCTTCAAAAGTTTGTCTTTCATTTTCCTCGATTAATGTTGGTTGGGCTGATATTGCTACTATCATAGCATCCCGTTCACACGTCACAATATCTACATTCATCTTTTCCAATTCAAGTGATAATTCCTTCCGTCTCATGAGCAAATTTGCCAAATTTCCCATACGTTTTCGACTATGAGCATCTGCAACTGTATTGGCTTTACCGGGATGGTAATGGATCTGCAAATCATAATCTTTAATAAGTTCTAACCATCGTCGTTGTTGCAAATTCAACTCTTTTTGGGTGAAGAGATACTTGAGGCTTTTATGATCGGTAAAGATGTTGCGTGTGGCACTATACAACTAATGTCACCAAATTTTTAAAACAAAGACCACCGCTGCCAGCTCCAGATCGTGTGTGGGGTAGTTCTTTTCATGGGGTTTAAGTTGTCGGGAAGCATAAGCGATGACCCTCCCATTTTGCATGAGTACACAGCCTAGTCCTTTATGAGATGCATCACTGTAGATCACAAATCCTTCGGTGCCAGATGGTAAAGCAAGAACAGGTGTTGTAGTTAACTTTGTCTTCAATTCTTGAAAGGCAGATTCCTGTTGTTCTGACCATTCGAACAAAACCCCCTTCTGAGTCAATTGGGTAAGTGGCACGGCAATTTTGGAGAAATCTTTAACAAACCTCCGGTAGTACCCGGCTAATCCCAAAAAACTACACACCTCGATTACATTAGTAGGAGTTGGCCAATTCACGATTGCTTCAATCTTGTGCGGATCAACGGAAACACCTTTCTTTCTTTATCACATGCCCCAAGAAGCCCACTTCATGTAGCCAAAACTCACATTTCTTCAACTTTGCATACAATTTCTTATCTCGAAGCGTCTGAAGAATTAACTGAAGATGATTTTCATGAGCTTCTGTATTCTCTGAATAAATAAGGATGTCGTCGATAAACACCACTACAAACTCATCCAGGTAGGGCTTGAAAACACGATTCATTAAATCCATGAAGGCTTCCGGTGCATTGGTAACTCCAAAGGGCATAACTAAGAACTCGTAATGACCATATCGGGTTCGAAAGGCAGTCTTCTCAACATCCTCAGCTTTGACCTTCAGTTGGTGATATCCCGATCGTAAATCAATTTTTGAAAAGACTTGTGCCCCTCGTAGCTGATCAAACAAATCATCGATCGTAGGTAATGGGTACTTGTTCTTGATTGTTACTTTGTTAAGCTCCCTGTAATCCATACACTACCGAAGAGTCCCATCTTTCTTCTTCACAAAAAGGACTGGTGCTCCCCAAGGAGACACGCTCGAGCAGATGAACCCTTTATCAAGTAAATCTTGTAACTGAACCTTCAACTCTTTCACCTCAACCGGTGACATCCTATAAGAAGTTTTAGAAATGGGTTGAGTTCCTGGCACCACTTCAATTGTAAATTCAATTTTACGATCCACCAGCTCTCCTGGTAACTCTTCCGGGAAAACATCTGGAAATTCACGGACAATTGAAATCATATCAATACCCCCATTCATTGATTGCCCCTCCAAGACACTGCATAAATACCCCTGACACCCTTTCTGTAATAATTTGCATCCCTTCATCGCAGAAATTAAGTAAGGTGGAGAGATCACTCCATGCCCTTTGAAAGTGAATTCTGACTGTCCCGGAGGGTGGAAACTGATTTGCTTGGTCACATAATCAATAGTCGTTTGATACTCACTTAACCAATCCATTCCCAAAATGATATCAAAGTGAGTCATGTCAAGAGGTAACAAGTTGGCATATACTCGGGTGTCCCGAATTAAGAATTCACAAGCAAAATAAATAGATGTACAAGCCATAAAATCCCCCAAAGGTGAAGACACACACAACACATAAGGTAATAATTCCACAGGTCTATTTAAATTTTGGACAAATATTTTGGACACAAATGAGTGGGTGGAGCCTGAATGAAACAACACATGAGCAGAATGGCCGTGAATAGTAAACGTACTTGACACCACTGCCACAGCATTTTGCACGTCGCCCGGAACCAACGCGAACACCGTTCCTTGCCTAGCGGTGTCTTTATTATTGGTGGTTTTTGCTACTAACTTTGTACTTGGAATCAGTGTTGAACCTACTAGTAGTGGTTCGATTCCCATTTTGTCGATCCCTTTGAGGACAATCTTAAAGCATGCCCCGGTCACCCGATAACAAGTTCCACGATGTCTTCTTCCACAATCCGGACAGGTAGGTGCTGAGTCTCGAGTAGGGGTGGAAGCACTAGAAGTTCCCGAATTCAATTTCTTATTTGGTGGTGTCGGTGGCCACTTTGACACTTGAGTTTTCTGTCTCTTCCCCTTCCACTCGAAAATTCGATTCTGAGTAGCAATATTCCCTTCTTCCATAATGGCCCTCTCTAGCACATCAACATACGTAGGTAACTTCAACACATTGATTCAATCAAGGATAGCATTCCGTAATCCCCCCTCGAACTTCCTCGCCTTCTTGTAATCCGTATCCACCATATGAGGTGCAAACCAAGCTAGTTTCGCGAATTGGGCTTCATACTCCGCAACAGTCTTATTCCCTTGTCTCAGAGTTTCAAACTCAATCACTTTCTTATCCCGCATACCCTGCAGAAAATACTTATCATAAAAGAGTTCCAAAAATTGGGTCCAAGTCATCCCTTGATGTTTAACTCTTGTAAGCATCCACCACCTACGGGCCTCATCTTCAAGAGTGAAAGCAGCCAGTTGTACCTTCTGAGCTTTAGTGCATGGAAACACCTCAAATTACTTTTCCACTCCAATTACCCATGCTTCTACTTTCATCGGTTCAATTCCCCCTTTAATTATTGGTGGCATCATCTTCTTGAATTCTTTTGTGAGAGTGATGGTTCGGTCCTCAGCATGATAATCTTGCATCATAGGCGGAGGTACCGGTGGCGGTGGCAGCTGTGGCTGTTGTTGTTGTTGTTGTTGCCGTAGAGTTTCCGTCATTTCCATGATCATTCTTTTGATTTTGTCTAACCGTGCAGAGGTAGAATCCTCTGGATCATCCATCCTTGTTCTCACAATGATCTACATAGTACTCAATTACAACACACACAACAGATACACAGGTAGACACAGATAATAACCATTTCGAAATACTTGTCAGTAGATGTTACATAGACAAATCACGTTGCTATCGTTTACTTCATAGGCACCAAAGACATCATGCATGAAACCTAAGTCTTTTCTAGACATCTTAAAGCTCAATGGATTCGTGTGTGAGATAGCAACTCGTGCTCTGATACCACTTGTCACGCCCCAAACCTGCCCCTAAAAGTTTGGCATGACCGACCCATAATGGGACTTAAAACTCAATAGTCAAAAGCATGACCAACTTATATAATACGAGGGCCTGAACGGAAGCAATTATTAGTTTAAATGACATCCATTGAGCCAGTGTTTAAATGCCAGGATCACAAAACATGTCATCGCATAATTCCACATATAATGAAGCATATACGTAAGTGATACCTATATACAATCCCAACCCTGTAACTGAGGGCATAACCAAAACATCGATGACGAAAGTTATACATGTTTATCAACATTTAACAAAAGGCTAGTGACCAATGCTAAGGGTTATAAAAGGAATTCCGCAAAAATGAGTAGCTTCAACTACTGCTTGGACACAGCGGGGTTAACAAAAGAAAAGCTGCCAGCGCTGGACTAAGACTAACCTCTGAGCTAATTACCAACAGAGACATACATAACACGGAGTGAGTAGGGTTCAGTGAATAATAGTATGTAGGTAATTCAAATGAATAAACATAAATCACACCGTATATAAGTACATGGTTCACATATCTGATCTTGTTCTGTAATCATTTCCAAAACGGCCTTGGGCCCAATATTAATGCAGAACGGCCTCAGGCCCAATATTATACAAAACGGCCTTGGGCCCACATATCATACAGAACGGCCTCAGGCCCACATATCAACAGTTGTTTGAACATTGAAGGATAGGTAGAACATCGACATGTACGCTACCTCCCTCGGCCTTAGGCCATAAGTCATGATCAATTCAAATCATATTAGGGTTGGTGAGACATCGACATGTCATCACCTCCCTCAGTCTTAGGCTATCATCAAGATATAACTTATATTTGAACGGCCTCAGGCCCAACAATAGCAAGACAGAACGACCTCGGGTCCATAAGTACACCATTGTCCAATATCTCACGTGAGTTTCCAATTGTTCATTATATAGAAACATAGCTCATTCATGATTAACGGTAAGCTAACGATAACTATTAGCAGCAAATAAGCATATCACTACACTACTATTACTCACAGTGCTGTGGCGGAGTGATAGTCCCTTCTTGTATGTGACCTACACACACATGCAACTCATAAATTAGTCCCTTTTCCTTTTTAATCGATAATCGATTCGTTCAACATTCATTTAATTACAAGCATTTTAAAAGCTTCAAATACACATTTTAGCAACCCCAGAGGGTCAAACAAGAGAAAAGAAACACACAAGATTTTTCTCCATGGGCCGCACGTGCGGAAGCCCCTCGCCGCACATGCGCCCCGCACGTGCACTTATTTCAGTACCTTAACCTCGAATCCCCCTGTTTTCTGCACGTGCAGCCATGAACTCCGCACGTGCGGTCGCAGCCTCTGTTTTCAGCAGTCTGAACCAAGGCCAAAATCCAACATGGTCACCACATCAAAAAGGGGAAAATTGGGAAAATCAACTCAATATTGTAACATAACATCACCATAATGTGAATCACAAGTCACAATACCACAACAAACATGAATTACAAGCTTGATTAACCTATAACCCTTTTCTACTGGTTGTATTTGATGTATGAAAGATATATATATATATATATATATGTGAGTTCAACATATAAAACCAAAGAATAAGGAATAATTTTCCTTCACAAAGCTCCAAACAACTAGAATAAAAGGATCCTCCAATCAATTAACCAATTATCACACACAATACCTTCCTAGAAACCCTAGCTTCATGAATATAAAAAGAATTTCAATTCAAACCCATTGGAGAGGTTATTCTAGGTGGATTATATCTACATTGAACTCAAAGCTCCACAATTCTTCTCAATTTCTTTAATCTTCTCCTTGTTGAACTTCTTCTCTCTTTTCTCTTCCTCTCTATACTCTCTCATTTTCTCAGGAGATAATTCTCTTATGATATAAAAGTGACTAGGTTAAGGGCTTAAGAGGGTTATTTAAGAGTTGACTACAAGTTAATCAATTTAGTCATTGCGAATCAAATTTTTACAAAAATTCATATTATGATCCAAAAATCATACTTATCACAATCATAAAGTCCATTTCGGGTTATCACGCTTCTAAGGCTTTCAATTACTAATCTAAACATCACAATTGTAATAGATTTCTCTCATAATCGACAGATATAGATCCATAATCTTATAATTCAGACAATTAAACTTAATTCACATGGAATTTCACATTAAACATATAAGTGCACATAATAAGAGACTGAAAGCATGCTAGAAACATATAAGAGGGTTGGGTTATTACACTCTCCCCCTCTTAAATAAGTCTGGTCTCTCAAACTTGTTTTACCTTATGACAGGAACAACTCCGGATATTGGTGTTGCATTTCTTCTTCTTTTTCCCAAGTAGCTTCTGTTCCATAATGTTCTTGCCATTTGACTTTTCCCATTGGGGATTACCCGGTTCCGTAGTTGTTTCACTTGCCGGTCCAAAATTTCAATTGGTTTTTCTTCATAGGTTAATTTGTCATCAAGTGTAATTTGATGGTAGTCTATGACATGAGACGGATTTGGGAGGTAACCTTGAAGCATAGATATATGGAACACATTATGTACTTGGCTCCTACTTGGTGGAAGAGCAACTCGGTAAGCCACCGAACTCACTTCCTCTAGAACTTGGAATGGACCGATATATCGGGCTGTTAACTTACCCTTTTTAGCAAATCTTGGGTGTCCCTTCATCGGAGTAACTTTCACAAAAACATGATTACCTACCTCAAATTCCAAATCTCTTCGTCGGTTATCCGCATAACTCTTTTGTCTACTTTGAGCTGTTCTCAACCTTTCTCAAATAGTTTTAATCTTTTCGATCGTCAACTGTATAATTTCAGGCCCTAACAGTGATTTATCTCCAACTTCAGCCCAACACACGGGGGAGCGACATGGTCTCCCATATAAGGCTTCATAAGGTGCCATTCCAATGCTTGAATGGTAACTATTATTGTACGCGAACTCCACCAATGGTAGAGAGAGAAAGAGAGGGAGAGAGAGAGAGAGAGAGAAAGAAGTGAAAGAGTGCCTCTAACACGTTTTTGGCATCAATTTTGAGGAAAAAAGCTCAAGTCCAAGACCTGGGACATCACAATCTTCTCCTCCTAGGAAATTTCGTAACTGAAATTTGGTTACACCTTTCACTAACCACCTCCAAAGAACAAGGACAATACAACAACAAAAGGGCTTTGAGTGGTAACAACCACACTAATAACAATAATGAATCCATATTAACAACAAATCAATTATAACAGGAAGAGATCAATCTCAAGAACATTTCACTATCACCCTCAAAATTTTCCATAGGCCAAGGTGACAATCCAACAATCACTAATACTATAATCATAAGCATAAGTTCAACAACAATTGTGACAACTCTGCAACAATTCTCATGCTAAAAAGACAACAACCATCATAACAACAAGTGGTTAAAAATTTCAATGATTTATTCTCAAACACAAGAGAAAATTAAAATCTAGAATAAACTAAGCGTTTTCAAATAAATCTGGATACTTGGAGCAGACTTCCGCCTCCTGTTCCCAAGTTGCTTCCTCAACCCCATGGTGTCTCCATGACACATTTACTAACGGTATAGTTTTGCCCCTCAACACTTGTTTTCGAACATCTAAAATTTGAACCGGTCGCTCTTCATACAAGGCATTCTCATCTACCTCCAATTCAGCCCAATTAAGTACATATGAAGGGTCGGGTTCGTACTTCCTAAGCATAGATACATGGAATACATTGTGAACCCCAGCAAGCTATGACGGTAAGGCCAAACGGTATGCCACTTCTCCAATCCGCTCTAAAATCTCGAAAGGTCCAATAAACATTAGAGACAACTTCCCACATTTACCAAATCTCATCAAACCTTGTCTCAGTAAGATTTTAAGAAATATGTGGTCACTAACCTCAAAGGATAGAGGTCATCTTCTCTTATCGGCATAACTCTTCTATCTGCTTTGAGCCGTAGCTAACCTTTTTCGAATGAGAGCAACTTTCTCGGTCGTCTCTCAAAAAATCTCTGAGCCCAACATCGGTGCATCACCCACCTCAGCCCAACAAATGGGTGATCTACAAGGTCGGCCA